TAAATATAGATTCCAATATAATACTAAATAGTAGTTTAATTATAAACCAGACGAGGATTATCGATAATATAATATTCTTCGTAAGGTTAATTAATGGTTAAATAAATTACGTTAATAGCTATTCCTTCCGGGATTTAAATTAGGGAGGAGATGTCGTTTATTAATTAGAATCGATTAATAATTTAATTATTAGCGATAATAATTAATTTATTAAAGGGATTAGTTATAATAGTATAATTTATACTTATATCAGCCAATATAGTAAAGGATATAACCTTATTAAATAGGGAGGGTTCGAATAAAAGATTTTGTTTGTTAACGGCTAGTATACTATATCTAACTGGGATCTGGGTAAAGGATTTAGGTTAAACGATAACGTATTAAATTATAATAATTCTAGCGTCGTAACGTTTACTTCTAAGTAGGACGGAAATAGGAATAGCGATATTGTAAAATCTGACTATTACAGTTAATTTACCAAAATTTAAAACGAATTTCTCTAGCCTTAAAATATCCGTTCCTAATAATAAGTAAGTTTTAAAGCTATTAACGAATCCGATTTCTTAGCGAAAATAAGCGACGGCTTTATATCTTTAAGGAGTACTACCTTTGAAAAAGAAATTTAGAATTATATATTTATTAAAAACGTATTAATTATTGCTAATGCTTCGAATTAATATAGTCGAAGCTCTACGTCCAATTTATATTTTTAGGTAGTATTATATAATTTAAATTTTATTTATTAATAACTGTATACAATTTATATTTAAATAGATTTCTTCTTCGTAATACGATACTAAATCTGTTATAATACGGGCGTTAAAATATAAGTAGGCCCTAAAATACTACTCGGTACCGATATCTAATTTAGAATCGACGTTAGAATAAATTATTTTAAGTAGCTTCTAGAAGGATAAAAGGGAATTTACTAATAACGCCGGTTCTTTACCCTTCTTTAATAGTTAAGGAGGCTTAGGCTTAAATATATTTTCAATTGCCGGTTAACGGTAAAGGTTTTTAGGAGACGGCTTATAACCTTATTTTATTAAGTTTAAGAATTTAATTTGCCCGTTGCCGTACAATACGTCCGATTTGGATATTTATTCGACGATAGTAATTATAATTCTCTCGGATTCAAAATCAAATATAGAGTCCGGAATATAGGAAATAGGTATAGTAGAATTAAGGGCGATAGAATTAAGGAAAATAAATATAAAAGAGTTAAAAATAATAAATATAGAAGAATCAAGTATAATAAATACGAAGTCAAGTATAATAAATATCAAATTAGGAATATAAAAAATAAAAATTATAAATTCGAGAACGTTAGAATTAGGAATAATAAATATAAAAATAGGTTCGATAACGCAATTAGTAATTATATAAAAATTGAAGGCCGGTTTGATAATGTTGAAATTAAGGGTAGAGATATTCGATTTAGCGATAAGTAAATTGACGGTAGGGGAATTAGATTCGGGAAAGAAGTCAGTAATTACGATTGAAGTAGTTTATTTAAGCTATCTCTCAATTCAAGGATCCTTCTCCAAATATTTCCAAAGTTTATTAAAGGTTAGGAATTTAATATAATAATACTAATACTAGTAAACCTTAAGCGTTAATAGTTAAATTCCTATTTAGACGATGTAATCGGGCGGTCTATCGGGATATTATTAACCGTTGTAATCGTTATTCTAATTCGCGCTTTAGTTTAATTAATCGAAAGCCTGCTCGTAGGTCAGGCTATACTCGTCGTTATTATATATGTCCAGATTCTAGTCGTCTATCGGCTATTATTGTTCTAGTAAGGCTGGTTCTACTAACCCTAATTCTAGGTCTAATTCGTATTCGATTGAGACTAATATCCGGATCCTAACGTTTGGTTATTCCGGTTCCTATTATTATAATTCGGATTACCGCCATTTCCTTAATTATTATTATTGTACCAATTATTATTCCGACCGTAATTATTATTATTATACTAATTATAAAGATTAATATTCGAATTCTAATAAATCTATTAACGAAAAGGGGGGTTAGGACGCGAATAATAATACTTACTGAAATTAATCGAAGTAGTCGTCGAACTTAATCTAAAGGGATTAAAAAACGAGGGATTAGTAATAGGCGAAGGACACCAAAATTCTCTAACCTTAGTTATTAAAACGGTCTACTTCTCGTCAAAGTATTTTAAAAAAAAATACTGAAAGTTATTGAATTAAAAGGTTTATTAATAACGGACTAAATATGATTATTTATAGTTTCAAAGGCGAATATAAATTAAAAATAGTAAGGTAGATTCAAGGCTTTAGCGTCTAGAACGACTTACTAAACGAAGGAACGGATATCTCGACCCGTATATATATTAAATAGGGTCAATTTCCTAACTTGAAAACTATGTAAAACTTTACTATCTATCTGTTTAAATCGATTAATAAAAGTTAATAAAATAAATTCGATATCTCCAGTAATCAAACCAGTCCGTTCGAAGTCAGTTAACTCCGTAGAATGCTAAATTAAGGCTAACCTTTAGAGATAAGTAGTCTAAACTTCTCGAACGGCTTAAATAGAATGCATAGAAGTAAAATACTTTAAACGTTCAGTAATGGCGTAAATATTAACGAAAAATCGTTATTTTACCTTATTAAATTATATTATTGCTATTATTGTCTTTCTCTTTTAGGCCTAGGTTAAAATACCTGACTTCTTTAGCTTTTAGGCTTAATAAACCCGAAGTACGAAGAGTAGCGGCTATTATCGTCTAAATTATAGTTTAGGTAATTAATTAGGCGATTTCGTCGGCTATTAACGGTATAGTAGAGTTAAATTCGCTATAGTTATTCTATAGAATTTATTACTACTAATTCTATTATTATTATATTTAGGTATTAAAGCCGGATATAAGCTTAGTTCTGCTTTATTTAAGTTCTAGAGTGGTAGCGTCGTTAATTATATTAATAGCAGTCGATCTATTTAATAGGTTTCCGTCGTTTCGGTTAAAAAATTTAAGAATATTTTTTATAAGGATTTAATTCCTTAAAAATACTAAAGGGTACTAATACCGGTCGTTGAAAGGTAAGATATAACGGTATATCAAAATAGATAAGTCTAATAATAGGATAACGAATAGAGATTAGTAATAGAGGGTTGGGTTTAGCTAAAGTTGGGGCCCTAAGGGGTAGAGTAAGGAAATTTAATTTAGGAATTTAGGATAAATATCTTCTAAAATTTATAGGCTTAACGTTATTTATATTAATAATAATTAATTCCAACATGGATTCGTCGGGATTAAATCAGAAAATCTAATTAAAGAAAAGTCTAGGATTACTGAAATTAAATAAGGCTAATAAGAGATTAGCGTTTAATATATTAATAACGTTAGCGTTAAACCTTCAGGAAAATTAGTTTTAGAAGAGGGTAAAAATCTATTTTAATAGGGTAAGAGTTTATTTTGATAGCATAAGTGCTTAGGGAAATTAAATAAAAATTTCCAAAAATTGGGTAATTATATTTAAATTAGAAATAAGTAGGGTAAGAAATTATTTTTAAAATACGGAAGGAGTTACTAGAAATTACTTTTAATTAGAAATAAAAGTAGTCCCTATAGTAAAAGAAAATAAGTTAGGTTACTATTTAGTAAACGTCAAAGCTAATAATCCGGTTCCCTACAGTTTATCCTATCGAAGTTAATTATTTATAACCGTTTAATTTAGTTGCTATATTCGCTTAATAAAATTACAGCGGTTTTTGTAAGCTTTAAAAATATTTTTGAATATATGTTAGGATTTAATCTATTCGACGGGATAAATATTTTCATAATACCCGAAGTAAACGTTAGAATTAAGTAAAATCTACTTAGCAATCTCTAAGTGCTCGTTTTATATAAATTATATATTTGAATAACCAGTCTGGTAGAATTTTTATAATTAACGAGCAGTTTCTTTAATTTATTCTATAGAAATTAATAGTATCGATTTACGAAATTTGAAGGAATTAATAGTATTGATTTGTAGGGTTCGGGGTTAAAGTAGATTCGAACGTTTTAATTTATTAGATTTAAAATTTACTAGATTTAAAATCAGATTTAAAAATTTATATTAAACGTATGTTTTAAACGCGGGCGTTTTATATAAGCCCGACTTTAAATTGATGGAGACAAGCGTTTAGACGTTAGATTTGAGGTAGAGGATCGTTGAAGTAGATTTGAAGGCAATGATTTTAGAGTCGAAGCGAGGTAATTATCGAAGTGAAGCGTTCGACGCGGGGTTAATTAATCGGTATTAAAATAGACGTCGCAATAATTGAGAGAGGATAATTCTTAAAATAAGGAACGAGGGAATTAATAGAATCGATTTTAAGTTCCGAAACGGAAAACAAAGAAATCGATAGTATTAATTCTAATAATAGGATGCTTAAATCAAGTTAATCTCGATTCTAGTAATGCCCGAAGCGGGTTTGATAAGGTAGTGCTAAATTAGATTTATTATAGGGGACGCGTTCGACGCGGGTCCGATTTTTAATAAAGTAAATAAATTACCAAAACCGTCGAATCAATAGGGTAATAATAATGTATATTCGATTATTATATAGGCACTAAAATCAATGCCATAAGGCGATGCGACCAATATACGTATGCATGTGTGTGATGTATTCTATAGAACCTAAAGTACTATATAAAGTATATAATATACTGGCTACATATATAGGGCACTGGGTACAGGGTGCGCCTGCCTCACATGTGCATGCTTAGTAAGCGCTAACACGGTGTCAACGTACCTCTTCCCAAATGCGGATCCCCTCATCACTGATCCTGCCTTATCCTACCGTCGACCTGAACGCCTCAGCCCGGAATCGCACGACAGCCGATTACTACTTGTCTCTACTGCAGCCAAAGAGGTACAGGCCTAGTTGTTGGACGAAAAAGGATACCCATACGCCTACACAATACGTTTTGTCGAGCTCCAGGAGCGGGACCCACGGTGAACGAGTCAGTTTAATCCACCATGTCGACGCGACCGGCTGTCTTGTCAGTATATCCATGTCCTCCATCATGGCGACAAGAACAAGGATCTCACACCTTCTGTTGACAGGTCCCTTTACCGACGCTCCCTGAAGCTCTCGCTCGACTGGGCTGTCAATCGCCAGTTATGGCGCGGCCAGGCCCTCTACATTCGCTCCCTGTTCGAAAAGAACCGCGACGTGCACGATCCTAGGCAACTACGGGTGCGCAGCGCTGTCCACAGGATACGAGAGTCTGCCCTAGCTGACCAATTGCTTTAGGTGCTTTTGAGAGAGACGGAGAAGCTCCTGGATCATTGGAAACATCCCGACCCCTTCGTTCCCCCACTTTCTCCCGGAGGCAAGCAGTCTTTCACTTGCGATCGAGTACAGGTAGAAGTCTTGCTAATGTCATTCAGGCTCAAAATACGAGAGGAACCTGCCTGCTCACATTCTGGACCGTAAGTTTGCTTCCCTCTAGTCCATCTGACCTTTCACACTGCCAGCTGCTAATATCTCTGGTCTCGATCACAGCTCCTCCGCCGCTGAAGTTCTGAGAATCCGGGCCGCATGTTGCCAGCCGTCCATCGTTGATATATCCAGGCGGTACCGAATAAACACGTTCAAGCTGGTTTACGTCAAGGAATCTTTGGGTTCTAGATGCCCCGTACATGACTTTGTAGAGAGGGGACCTGAACCAGCCAGACAAAATGGCCGGGTAGCTGTTCAACACGAGCGCAGACTAGAGGTTATCACTCATAACCGGTTCACCATGGCGTAGCGGCAGCTATTGGGCATTTCAATCATGATGAATAGAGTAAATGGGGATTGAAAACCATGGAGATATTAACGGCACTTTTGATTGATGCTCAAAAGGTATTCTCATTCATGACCCATCGCCGTTGACGGGGATAATGTACAGCCCAAACATGAAAAGCAACCGTTGACCCTAGACCGTGAACCCCAATTTCATGAACCCAACGTGCCAACCAGAAAAAAGGGAAGAGAAAACAGAAATTAAACTAAGCTCCGGCTTTAAAGTTCTTGACTCGCGTTCTTGCCAGTCTTGCCGGTCTTCTTGGGAAGGAGATCTGCAAAGGGAAAATAGCGTTAGAGCATGTTCCTTGAAACTCGAGCAACCAGATGAACGTACTTTGGTGAATGTTGGGGAGAACACCACCCTGGGCGATGGTGACGTGGCCAAGAAGCTTGTTCAACTCCTCATCGTTGCGGATGGCGAGCTGAAGGTGACGGGGAATGATACGAGTCTTCTTGTTGTCGCGAGCAGCGTTGCCGGCAAGCTCAAGAATTTCGGCAGCGAGGTACTCGAGAACGGCAGCGAGGTAGACGGGAGCGCCGGCACCAACACGCTGGGCGTAGTTGCCCTTGCGGAGGAGACGATGGACACGACCGACGGGGAAAGCGAGACCAGCCTTGGAAGAGCGGCTGTACGAAATGCAAGTTAGCGCGATGAACGGCACAACGGCGCTGGCTCCGTCTCGGAGCTCAGAACGCAGCTTCGAAGGTTGGCGATGCGGAAAGCAGCGCGCAAACAAGGGCCGACTCACGATTGCGCGTTCTTGGAACCGCTAGCCTTGCCGCCGGACTTGCCGCCTCCAGTCATTTTGATGGTTTGGTTGGGTTTGGTTGAAAAGTTTGGTATTCGTTGAGGCGGTAAGACTCGGAAGTCGCGTCGTTTCGGTTGACGTAAAAAGCAGAAGTTGGTTGTTGGGGAGTGTAGTGAGGTGGGAAGGAAATGAGGGCTGGCGGGGGATGTGCAAGTTAAGTAGTTTTCGCGTCAGGGCGCTGCGAACACGGATCAGCCACGCTTTCCGGAGGTTGTTGATCGGGGGCGTTGGGGCTAATCCCAAAATGGGGTTGCACAACGCGAGTGTGGGTAGTAGGCAAAAATTTGGCTATGACCGCCCATTGGTCAGACACAGAAGTAGAGTCCTGCTAACAACAATCAAAAGCTCGAAATTCCTGCACTAATGGAGCTGCCCTGATTTTACAAATATTAAGCCTGCCCAACAAGCCAGGGCTTCGCCAGTCCCTCTTTCCATGCCCTTGCACGCGACATTCGCGAATCCATCTCGACACTCACCAGCCACCTGCGACCGACGACTTGCTGCGGCCATCGATCATTGTCAAATCAGCCAGCCGCATCATTCCTGTGTCAAGCACCAGCAGTTTTTTGTTGGACCTTTTTTTTCTTCCCACCGCGATCCTTTCCTTACCGAGGCGCATAGACGGGGCAAGAGGACATGTTGGCTGATTGGCATCGCAAATCTATGCCACCCACCGACCCTCGTGTGTTTTTTGACACAACTTCTCCCGATCGCAACCTCCAGGCAACGAACGAGCCGGGTCTACCATACCTTTGACACCAATTACGATCCTGAAAGTCCCTCACTATTACCGACTTTACCTGCCATTTGACTGCCCTTGGGCACCTGGCAGCGCCCTCCCTCTTCTTCGGTCGGAATTTTCACCTGAAAGCGCAGCCAGCGACGCTGGCTCCCTTGCTATAACTGCATTGGATGATTTATGGTGCGGAACTCACCCCTCACGTCTTTTACGGACATCGCAGACCACAATCTGGCGTCGGAACCGCATGGTTTGAAGGGTCCGAGCCTTATGTTCGAAATTTGTAGTTGACCTTGGGCAAGGCCGAACCTGCCGCATTTCCGCTGTCTACTTTGGAAGGTAAGTGCGTGAATGACAACCCAATGCAGCTCATCCACCAAGTTTATCAGGTCCTTTTTCATACTCTGTTCTTGGCTCATGAGCCCTTTCAGTTTGAAATATTTGGATCAAGTTCGCTCTTATCCTCCTTTTCAAACCTGACTTTTGAGCTGTGTAGTCCTTCCCACGTGTACAATGTGCAATGTGCTTCAAAACCTTCGTGACATATCATTAAAACTCCAAACCTGGCTCACTAGAGGTAAGTGACATGCACTTGGCAATGCACACCCGGATCCCATGAGCGATCAGGCGGATCCTGTGTCCCCATCTAAGCCCTACCCGAAGAAACGGCACTTTCCCCGGATGTTCGATTTCAGCTTCCTCCGCACTTGTCATGTGCCACTGGGGTTCACTGTTCAGTCCGCCTTCTCGCCCTGTCGCGGGCTTTGGGCAATATGGAGTTGGGATCCCTGGGAACCAATCATGTCGAGCGCCCCTGGCGTGGTATTGATGGGGATGGTGTTGCTAGAAATTTTGTCGTGCATCCTGCCCTACAGCCTCTGATTACGTACGCCGGCTCCATGGGTACCGAGATGGGTACTCTGCCCGCAGCCGGACAGGATATTTGAAAGCGGTCTCTCCCGTTCTCCCTCAAGAGGCCCCAGGCCAGGCCAGTCCCGTCGTCATCAACAGCCAGCAACGCGAAAGTCACGGACAGATCGGGGCCGCGCCCCAACTGGTGTTTCCCGGTAACGTGGGGATTGAACCCGTTTCGTGTCGTTGCAATGTGCAAATTCAGAGCTGCTCATAAGGCGTTACCCACCACAGAAAGATTGAGCATCGACTCCCGCCCGTCTCCCGGAGCTTGTTGAAAGGAGCGGGCCAGTGGGTCGGGGGTCGGGGTTCAAGCCGGGTGTCATTGGTAGGGCCACGGATTCCAAAATGCGGCGGCAGAGCCCGGGGGCCCTTGCGGGTTTGTGGACAGCGACATGCATGCCTGTGCCGTTGTGCTGTATCGATTCTCAAATTCCCCATGATTGCCCCTTCCAGGTGGGTTGTCGTAGCGCACGAGCCAACGTGGCATGGGCCTGGAAATGCCAAGCACTGACTGCTCAGTGGTTGTGCACCTGGCTTGTAGGTTGGGGACCTTTACCTTACGGGCGCCAGTATTTTTTTCTACCAAATCAGGTATCATGCTCCACTTTTCGCGCACCGCCCAGATCAATCAGTCAATCAGTCCGTGCCAGCGCCCGGCGCGTCCAGCTACAAAAAGGCACATCCCCCCTCGCCGACCTCAATTTTCTCCTTCCAACAACCACTTCTCTCAACTTTTGTCCGCGACCATTCACGACCGAAGGAAACACGCCCGCTTACGCATATTCATCTGTTGAATTTTAATTCCCGAACTTTCGAAACCACCCAAAATGCCTCCCAAGCCCGCCGACAAGAAGCCCGCCTCCAAGGCCCCCGCTACTGCCTCCAAGGCCCCCGAGAAGAAGGATGCCGGAAAGAAGACTGCCGCCTCTGGCGACAAGAAGAAGCGCACCAAGGCCCGCAAGGAGACCTACTCCTCCTACATCTACAAGGGTGAGTTGCCATGTGCCCTTTTTCCCCCGCGCGAGGACGGGATCGCGTTGCAAAATGCGATCTGTGACGCGTCATTGCCCTCATCCTCTCAAGAAGATGCGCCTTTCGGAGTTTGCAGCAATCTTGGCTAACACACAAATTCAGTCCTCAAGCAGGTCCACCCCGATACCGGTATTTCCAACCGCGCCATGTCTATCCTGAACTCCTTTGTCAACGGTAAGAGCCAACTTCCGCGCACCAACGATCCAACACAGGTCTCTGACATGATCACCAGATATCTTTGAGCGCGTTGCTACCGAGGCTTCCAAGCTCGCTGCCTACAACAAGAAGTCCACCATCTCCTCTCGCGAGATCCAGACCTCGTATGTCTTCCGTTCTTACCCCAAAAACGGGCTGCGCACCTTCTAACATAACATCTCTAGTGTCCGCCTCATCCTCCCCGGCGAGCTTGCCAAGCACGCCGTGTCGGAAGGCACCAAGGCCGTTACCAAGTACTCCTCCAGCACGAAATAAGTACTCGGTGACGGGGTGTTTCGTGTCTTTCCTCTCATTTTTCTGTCTAGGGCATTAGGATTTGTTGGCATTTGGGTGTCACTTACGAGGAGACTTTTGGCCAGAGGTTCCAACACAATCCGCTTGGCGTCTCTTCTAATTGCAATGCGTTACGGATGGTCTGCTTTTTTTATTATCTTTGGGGGCAATGTCTTCTCACGGCTTATGGGGTTCTTGCGATTGTACAATAACATACCTTGATATCAGGGTTTCGGACGAAATGAAATCGTGCATATGATCAAAGAGCACAGGGTGTTCAGCTCGACCAGTGACGGCAACATCATTTCAACGACACTCGAAAACAACGATATTCAGAGAACGCCCCCAAATGCGTCGCCATGTTTTGACCGACGAAACCACCGATTACTGCAAAGCCCCCCAGGGCATCATCACGGCTTTGCAACTTTGATATGGGGTTTGACCCAATGTCACTGGGCATGGTCAGTGAGCACATTCGTCAGAACTTGTCAAGCCCATGGTTTGGCCTTATCAAAGAGGGGCTTCAGAGCTAGGCCGATTTTGCGAAGGAATAGTCGTTTCTCGTTGACGAGCCACTGTTGCCTGTGGTGATCGTTTAGGCAGAGGGGCGGGGTTTTGGCGGTTGGAACACCGAACCGAGCGTTTTTGCTCTATATTTGTTGTGTTTACGGGCTAGGCAGGAGAGAGGTGTGATGCAGGAGGTAAAGACTCCTAACGTAGACAGTCTGTTTGCGGGATATGCATCTCGACGTCGTGACGGGAGAGTTGGTTATCACCAGTCACTGTTTGCACCAGGAAAAGACCCCCCTTGATTTCCTGTTCTTTCGCATTTTTGGTTCCCTCTATTCACATGTTCGCCCCTCCCTATGTACAAGCGTAAACCATGCCAGGTAATATGTATGCATAGTGGTGAATTTGGATCCCGTCGAAGATCGATACATACATGCTTTGCCGCAGTATACAGTATACTTCAAGGTCGTTTAGCCCGGGCATTCGATCTAGTTGATACATAGTAGCAGGATTCTATCCTCTGCTAACAAGTTGGTTTCCAGCATCTTATCCAAGACCTGCCTTGGACCGCTTGACAACCTGCTTCACAGGTTCCAGAATTCCCTTGTTATCTAAGCTACCGAGACCCATCCCCTTACTCCATCCCATTTTTTCCAGCATGGCGCGGCCCTTATTCTCCTGGCCTAGTTCTGGGGCTGAGGCTCCCACAATCTCACCTTCACGTACTGTGACGGCTTTGTGACCGGAACGTCCACCGCCGCCACCAGACGGGGTTTTGTACGAGGGTTTGCCCTTCGCATCAAGTCGGTGGAAGTACTTCCGGTTGATTCGTACCGCTGCCTGGTCAACATGAGCGACCACTTCTTCAATTCGGTGTTCTTTGTATCTCAAGGTGGCTTTCGTGCGATACAGAATTGGACGGCGCTGGTCACCCTTTCCCGTTGATTGGGATTTGATTTTGAACTTGTTGGCCAATTCGTGAAGAACCTTGCGAGCCTGTTTATCCATTGGGGGGAATTGGAGACTGGAAAAGCAGGAGCCATGTTAGTTGAATTGCACGCGAGGCTTGTAAGGGAGAATGGAATGAAGATGATAGATGAAGCGTTCCGAACTGCATACCTTTCTTCTGTAGTGAGGAGAAATGCCACAAGCTCAGTTTTGATGTCGTCAAGTGTCATCCCAGTGAGATACTTGACGCGCAAGTCGTCGGGGTTGGCATGTTTGCCCAAAAGGCCCTGGGCACGTAATTCCTCCCGCTCGAGCTTGCGCTGCTTTTTCCTCTCTCTGTCTTTCTGCCATGCAGTCTTTAAGACTAGCTCAATCTCAGAGTCCGACACATTGAAGTTGGGAGGTTGTTTACTGCGCCGATTCCGTCCTGGTGGGATAAACCCGGGGTTGACCCATCCATCAGTCAACTCGAGACCGTCAAATGCATCCGCCACTGCGGTGGCACTGGGAAACCCTTCGGTTCGGCCTGCACGCTTCTTGTTCTTGACCTTTCGGACATTGAAAGCCGCCTCCTCTGAGAACAGGACCAGTTCATTGCTTCCCATGCCCAATTCCTCTTGTTTAGCGAAGAGACGAGCAAGTGTCTCGTCGTCGATGTCTTCTTCGTCTATATCCAATTGCTCGTTTTCATCACTGTCATCGCTGGCGTTGCTACCGCCTGTCTCAGACATGGCATCCATGTCATCCGAGTCGTCCCCGAAGTTGACAGCATTCTCATTTCCACCTAGGTCCCTGCGGTTGGCGAAAGTCCTGAGGTGGCTAGTGAGGATGTCATCCCCATCAGAGTCGTCCGCAAGATTGGCGATATAGTCAGCCAGGATTTCATCCTCGTCATCATCCTCCATGTATTTCTGAGCCCGCTTCGAATCCCGCTTTGAGTCCCGCTTTGAGCTCTTTTGTTTGGATGCGGATGTGGGCCTGCCTCCTTGCGCAGAAGCAGGCCTGGCTGCGATGACCACCTTCGTACTCGTGAAAGCTTCAACGGCTTTGGTACTGCCAACCTTGGGTGGCTGAGTAATGCTGGTAGCATGGCTTCTTTGCTCGCATACCGGCTGGACTGTGGGCTGGACATGCGAGTTTCTGCCTTTGAAGAGAATAATCTCCTCACTCGAGTCGGAATGGTCAGCAAGCGGCTGGCGATCTGGAATCGGCACGGGCGGTTGATCTGTGCCGACCATAGTTTCGTCCCTGGCTAAATCGAAAAAAAAGAGCTGCTCGGTCGCTTCAACATTCCCTTCTGTCTTCGCAACCCGATCGGTTTCGTCATGAGTGCTAGCGTTGCGGCTGGGCACGGATTGTTTGATGTCGATGTCCAGCGGCTTTGAGTTTTCTCCAACGGCTTCAACCGTAGCTTCCTGAATCTCATCAAGCTGAAGCTGGATCTCCTCTGCGGCATCCACCCCAACCAAGGTTGGGGATGCAGTAGGTAACAGCTCAGGCTGCTTGAGCGGCTCGATGTAGCCGGCACTCACAAACTGGACAGGGTTCGTCCTGAGACTCGTACCCCAGAGGAGTTGATGGGATGTCGTGTTTCTAGCCTCATCCCGCATGGTGAACCCTGAGGTCGGTGTCAGATGAGCAGCTGCATGAAATGTGAAGAGGGACTCTACCATGGTTGTTCGCGGTTATCCCGGTGTTCAAACTTTCTGCGGTTGCAAAGTTTCGTATGTTTTTCTGTGCTGTTGTAGCTCGCATACGGGCAGTCTTGGGTCCCGCATGTGGCCGTTTGCCCTTCTTGGGCGCCATAGCGGGCGTGGGTGATGATGCTGTGTCTGGATCAATGCCGACCAAGACGTTCACCTTTGAACGAGGCTGGCAGAGACTGGATAAGGAGCAAGATAATGGGAGGTCTTTCCAGGACCTGTGGCGGTGGCAAACCAAATATCAAGAAGCAGCCTGGGGAAGGCAGGTAGCTGTCATGGTTTTCCAGAGGCGGTGGTGGAAAATCTCGTCTGCCGTTGGGTCGACGTAGCCAAATCTGCTTTCCGCTTTGGAGACAGTGCTCCTGGGCGTAGGTACCTAAGGTAGGTAGTAGGTACCTCTAGGCTTCCATGTCAGATGGGACGTCGTTGTGCACGCAAGAAGGCTTTGCAATATGTAACACCCATGGCCAGTGAAGTGGGCAGCACGGCAGATAGCGCCGCTCTGTTTGTAGAGGGACTCACTAGCAGTTGCGGGTAAGGTACGTACAGGTACCTCGATGGCCCTTGCTTGCCTCAGGTTGTCTGTCGAAGAGGCGTCGCGGACCACCGGCAGGCACCATGTTCAAGGTCCACCAAGTACACAAAGGTGGACCTGCCTTTGGTGGAGAAAGCGATCATAGGGGCCCCTGGGCCTCAGTTATCCCCAGCGACGGGACTCAGATGACATCGTTACCTCACTTAGCACCCCCGCCGCTCATCGCAGCTGAGCAAACAATGGGGACCACCTGTTCGCCTACACAGGACTCGTTCTGGGAGGGAGGTTGATTCACACACTTGCATCTACCTAGAGGTACCTTACCTACCTTACCTACACTACCGACCTACCTCTCTACCTCTAACTCTTTGCGCCAGTGCACTCTTCTGTCGGCAGGGGCAGTCTACAGTCAACATACTAACCTTCCACTTGGCAGCACAACGCTTCTTCTTTCCCGGCCCTCAACCTTGGATTCCATCTGCACACACGAGTACTTGACAGCAGTCATCGTCCACCTTCTCATCCCCGCCATCGACATACCCGAAGGCAACACCTACCTCGATTTTGATCCTGTCTCGTCCAGCGAGCCCCAGCCAGTCTGTCCCTCGGGCCGCACGTGTTGCGTGGCTGGCTTAAGTTGGACTTCTGCCGGCATCCCCTTCTATCTGTCAGGCCCACCTCGCCTCTGGGCACCCAGGGGAAACATTCATGACATCCTCGCGACCTGGTGGCACCGGCTGGCAAGAAACAGTGTCCAGCACATCTCCAAAGCTGGCTAACGCAATGGAGGCTGCCAGAGCCGGCGCTGCCGAAGTTGGACGCGTAGGCCGCCGTTTCCTCCACCGGATATGGGACCGGGAGCCTGTCAATAATCGCACCGTCAATGAGCCCGTGTGGTGTCTCGGCTGTTCATATACGCTTGACACCAAGCAGTACGGGTCACCCTTGTCGTCGTCGTCGCTATCCCAGCTTAGAGCAGATACACCGCCTTTGGATAAGTCACAGCTTGCCGCCACGCATCAGCACCAAGACTTTGATGGCGTCCGGACCACTACGCCGTCGTTGTCATCGCTCCCGCCGGCAACGGCAACGGCAACGACGGCAACTTGCCCATCAGACACCTCGGTGTCTGCAGCACCGGCAGGTCCCCAGTTTGGACCCTTCGACACGGCTTCAGATTCTGTAACGAGTGGTTATGATTCGGCTTTAGCATACGAAGACCCCGGGCAAGATGGTGGATGGCCGCCTGCCTTTCTCGACGACTTCGAGTCTCGTATATGGATGACATACCGCACTGACTTTGCACTTATTCCGAGATCGAGCGAACCCCAAGCATCTTTTGCCCTGTCCTTCGCGATGCGGATCAAGACTACCTTTTCGGACTTGACGGGCTTCTCGTCCGATACGGGCTGGGGGTGCATGATCAGGTCAGGTCAGAGCCTCCTAGCAAACGCTATACTTATTGCTCGCCTTGGTCGTGGTAAGTCGCTGCTCTTTTTGGCATGCTAGCTCGCAACAATAAAAAAAATAAACAACAAGCGTGTCGACTAATAGCATTGTTACAGAATGGAGGCGAGGTACAGACCTAGACGCGGAAAAGGACATTATTGCCCTATTTGCAGACGACCCTCGCGCTCCATATTCCCTACACAACTTTGTCAAATACGGCGCCACGGCGTGTGGCAAATACCCGGGTGAATGGTTTGGTCCATCGGCAACTGCACGATGCATACAGTAGGTTATGGTCCCCGGGCAAACAAAAGAAGTCTCCTTGACCCGTGAAGACAAAAGAGAGTTGCATGACAGTACGGCTTACAATGTGTAGGGCATTGGCGGACGAGAAGGAGTCGGGCTTGCGGGTATACTCAACCGGTGACCTACCGGATGTTTACGAAGACAGCTTCATGGCGGTTGCGAATCCGGATGGGCGCGGCTTCCAGCCAACACTGATACTCGTATGCACAAGACTCGGCATCGACAAGATCAACCAAGTATACGAAGAGGCCCTCATCTCAACTCTACAGTTACCCCAGTCGATAGGTATAGCCGGGTGAGTCTTCGAAACCCAGGCATGTGACCTGGCACTATGCATTTACTCATCACTAACGTGAACATTAGCGGTCGTCCTTCCTCGTCCCATTACTTTATCGGCGTTCAAGGCCAACGGCTCTTCTACCTGGACCCCCATCACCCACGACCTGCACTCCCTTATCGCGAAGATCCGAAAGAATACACGGCAGAAGAACTGGATACGTGTCATACTCGACGGCTGCGACAGCTTCATATTGACGACATGGACCCTAGTATGCTTATCGGGTTTCTCATCAAGGATGAGGACGATTGGGACATGTGGAAAAGCTCTGTGAAGCATGTTCAGGGCAAGTCCATCATCAGCGTTTCCCCGTACGACCCTGCCAGGGGGCAGGGTGGAGGGCGTGCCGAAGCCATTGATGAAGTAGAAACTCTAGAGAGTGATGATGATGGAGAAACCGCTCTGGGAGCATAATGACTTGGGAGCATAATGACTCGGGAAACGGGGCATGATGTATTCAGAGCCTCGCTTTTTCGCCAAACCTACCACTCAACTGCAAGCCAGCATGACACCGAGGATAAGAGGCGTTGAGGCACACAAGGTAGGTGGCCATACCGATGCTATGTTGTACAAAGTCTTGGGCGCATGTGATGACCGTCTGGTGTGATGGCAGAACAAAGGACTATTTACCGTCTCGCTTTTTTACCACCCTTTGTGGATTTAGGTGCAGGGGCCGCATGATCTAGTTCCTTGATGTGGGCGAATAACTTGGTTCGAGAGGAGAAAGTTTCTTTGCAGACGGCGCAAAGGTGCTATAACTTCATGTTAGTCGGGTGTTATGCGATATACGCAATATAATATACGCGCGATTTCTTCAAAGTGTACACGAGCTACAACTTACAGAGCCTTGTTCGCCTGCTTCAGCGGCTTGCCGCGCGGCCTTCTTCTCGCGTTTCAATTTCGCTTTGCCCAACTTCTGACCGGCACCGCCTAGTCCCGTCCCACCAACTTCTAGGCTGGAAATGTTGTCAGTCAGAGAGTCAACACCTTCATTAGTCGCCGGACTGTCGGGCTGTGGTTCTCCAGAGGCATTACCAGCCATGAATCGATTTTCGACTGCTGATCGAGGTGCATACTCGTCATCCTCCGTACTCGAGCCATCTGCTGCACTTTGGCCCCGCTCCTCCCGTATTTCTGCGCTTTGGTGAGTATCCTCGTTACTTTGTGACTTGCCACCTAAAACGCCTTGGGGTGGTTTTGCGGTATCATCACCACCGTCCAAATCGGTCTTTTGGGGAATCCGCGGCTGAGGTGAGGGCGTCGAAATGGCAGGGCTCTCTACACCCAGGTCAAAATCGGCGTTTTCCCTTTTCATCTGCCTTCGCAGTTGCTGGACGGCTTTGACGTGTTTCTTGCTTTTCTCGTGCGCCTCAAATTGCTTTTCACTCTTGAACGTCTTGTTGCAGACAACGCATTCGAGGACCTCGACCTCGGACTCCTCCTCAGAAGTGAGAGAAAACTCGCTAAGCGGCTGCTCTTCATCATCCCGCGCCTGAGCCCAGTCAGGCACCACGTACTCGGCCAGCTTCTCCTGGTTGGCGGCTCGTGAGCGGGCCGCCTGGGCAGCGGCGGAATTTCGTAGGATCTGTTGCCGTTCTGACTCGGATTGCGTGTTTGGAATATAACGGGGGTCACGTTTCCTGACAAACGACACGAGGGACAGGACGGCATCGTTGAATTCGCGGATGCCCTCTTCACGAAACTTGCGGTTTTCCTTTTCCATGAGTCTGCGGACTCTCCGGTCAGGGGCATCGCTAAGGCGATATTTGTCCTTCCAGCTGAACGTCTTCTTGGTAGAGAAGCCTGACCATATCTTGTAGAATGGCTTCGCAACGGAATCGTAGTCGTCCCCGGCCCGGCCAAAAGCTGGGTATTCTACTGGTACGATGCCTTCCCAATCTGCCGCCGCGGTCTCTTCGGCCGCGAGTTGGTCAAAAAACGAGTTAAGGATACCAAAGAAACCACTAGGGCTGTCGTCCATGCGCACGCTCGAGTTAAAGCGGCCCATCAGGGTGAAGATGGCTGTTGCGGAGGTGTAGCTAGTTCCATCATGGCCAGATGGCTCAGCGCCAGAGACATCTGTCTGGCCTGTGAGGATGGCCTCACGATGGGAATCGTACCAGGCGCGCTCCTGAGGATCCGACAGGATCTCGTAGGCCGTCTGTACTTCGGCGAACTTCCTGGTTGCATTCTCTTCATCATTGAAGTTACGGTCAGGATGCAGCTCGAGGGCCTTCTTTTTGTATGCCTTTCGAATTCTACCTGAACTCGTCAGTACCGTATGCAAACTTGCAACGTCTGAGATGGAAATGAGCTCACTCAGTATCGGCAGCCTGGCGGTCTACCCCTAGAACCTCATAATAGCATGTCTTGCGCTCTAGTACGGCAGCAGAGGCCTGTCCGCCGGGCCGCGGGGCTGATTGCTCGGCACCCATAAGGAAATCTCAGATCGCTCGGGAAGTGAGTTACGTAGGTAGCGAGCAAATGGCGTTTTATGAGGATGATGGAGAGAGACAGAATCGGCTGGAGAAAAAAAAAGTGCTAGTATACGCAGCACAGTTGTTGTATACCTATAGGTTCTTTTGTGATAGCGACACTGCTAAAAAAATGATGCTGAGCGGGTCGGGCGGTACAGTAAGTAGAGGTGGGGCGGGCTGCAGCGTGAGGACCTACCTACAGTAGAAACCCCTGAAACTGCATGTAATTCAGACCGAGGAATTCTATGCACTAAATGGCATATATGCAGTTCCTAGACCGGAGCTAGGCCCGAAAAGGAAGCCAACCAGAGGCCGAGACACTAAATTCCGACCCTCTGCTAAGAATCTCACTGCTCAGGACCGGATTCATAAATGTATACGCACCAAAAATTGTCCGAGATCCGCATGCAGTATGCGGTTATGCAGTTGTAGCTGGGAATTAATTCAGCTAGCCAAATCCTATGCACTAACTGGCGTATATGCAGTTCCTGGAGGATGCAGTTGCAGGGGTTTCTACTGTAGGTACATACTAGGGAACCATAAAGGGCGGTAGGTAGGTATGTACCTACAGGTCCAGACCTTCCACTTGAGTTCCACTTGCCTAGAGGTACTTGACAGAGCGAAACTAGGTACCTGCTAGTACATGTACGTAGTACCTTACCCAGTACGTAGAGGGAGTTACCTAGGTACCTAGAGGTACCTTTGGCTGTCTGCCGTGTTCGTCGTGCTGGGCGTGCTGGAGAACCTTGATCGGCCCTTTCAATCACTGGAAGCAGTCCTCGCCTTCTCATTTACGTAAACCATCACATGGCCACCACTTTGGCCGTGTAGAGGGTTCGAGGGAGGCGGAGGAACGTCTAGAACTGTGTCAACGGACGGCTAATAAGAGGTAGACAGCATGGTGAGAGAAGACGGCGTGCTTTTCCAAGATCAAATAATTTCACTGGCCTCAGTGCGCACACAGCAGCACCAGGGGCATCTTTAGGCGCGCCTCAATCGTCGTCGCCATCGCCGGTTACTTGTGCTTGGAGGTGTACCTGTACCAAGAAGCGACCGTCCATCAGTTAAAGAGTAGGTATGTAGTGCAGACACCTTCCTCTACCTTTACACTAGGTGCCATATTTGGGCGGCCGGGCCATTCTGGCCATGCGACCAACAAACAGGCCATTCATTGCCATTGCCCTTACACTCAGGTCTAACATCACTGGTGCGCATTCAGTTGAGTGATTTCACCAACATCAACCGTCCGCGCGCGTCAACGTTCCGACCCGATTCCGACGAGATTCCGAATTTCCTCTCTTCAGCTGCTGCCGATTCACGACCCGACCTAGACCGAAACCTAGTAGCATTCCCTGTCGCGCCGTGCGACTCGCAAAATTGCCCCTCGTCTTCCCCGATCCTACAGTTACTCGCCATGACCACGCCTCTGAACGCATATCAAGATTTTTGCATGGTCATGTCGCTACAATGAAATTCGGTCACTCGTTCAAGGAGGCCCTGCAGGGGGAGAGCTACCCTCAGCATTGGGTAGACAAAGCCATTCCGTATGGTCAGCTCAAGAAGCTCCTGGGCAAGGTGCGAGAGGAACTTACTCGCAACGGCTATGACCCCGACACTATTCACAGGCTCTTGGCCGACCACAACGCAGAGTACAGGCTAAGGGTAGAAAACTCCCACATCCTCCGCCCCAAACTGGTAGTGCGCCCCTCGGCCAGTACCACTTGTCTACGATCCGATACGGCCCCGAAGCTCCTCGCAGGAGGAGAGCCCGCGCCGGCCTCAGAGCCCAGCACGCCCGCCAGCGCGCCCCCCGACTCGTCGTCTGTACCGCTGGAATATCCCACCTCGTCACCCAAGACTCTGGCGCAAGCCCAGGATGCTGGATGGGTCGATATTCCTCTGGACTCGGACGCAAAGTTCTTCAACATCCTACAAACAGACGTGGTCGAGCTAGACTCGCTGCAAACCCAAGAGCGACAGTCCATGAATGACGGCATACAGTTGCTTGGCGATGAAATCGCACGTCTGGCTCGGCCCCGCAAGGGAGTAATTCAGTTTGCAAAATCTGACCTCTACCGTTGGCGTGACATCTTTGAACTCTACCTGGCCGCCCAGGTATTCTTCTCGACCGCCGAAACAGCCACGGGTCCGCGCGATAGCGAGAAGGCGTGGAAGCAGCTTGTTTGGTTCCAGGATGAGGTCAACAAACGACAGCTGTTACAAAAGTTTAAACTCAAGGCCAGCGCGGAGGCTTACACACGCTTCCTCGAACTCAACGCAACTCTCCTGAAGAATTTCAAGTTCCAAGAGCTTAACCGAACAGCGGTTACCAAGATCATCAAGAGTGAGTCCCAGCCCAGAACGGAGTAAATGATGGCAACAACGAAAAGTCAGGACGAAGAGGGGGGAAAGGAGTAATAGGGAGTGAGGAGGGAGCGAGAGGGGGGGATATCAAGGGAAATTTGCGTGTGTGTCGTGTTTAGAGAGGAGATCGTCTTAAGCAGACAAGATTATGACAAGATTAGAGGCTAACTGTAAAGCAGAATTCGATAAACAGACGTCGTTGGGCGTCAAGACAGAGTTTCCAAAAGCCATGAGCTCTGCCCCCTTCATCGCTGGGAGTATCGCCAAGGACATCTGCTCACAGATGGCTTGCGAAGTGCTCAGCCGTGTTCCTCAAATTGTGGATTACACATGCACAATTTGTACGTATACTGGCCGGCAGGTCTACGTTACAATACCTATAGACCCCGGCCACCCCCACAGCCTTGCCTGGTATATTCAAACTGACGACGATGGATGTTAGGTTACTCAATCTGCTGGCTCCCCGTGCGATTGGACTGTGACCACATGTTTTGCATCCGGTGCATGATCAAGATGCAAAGCCGGAATAAAGAGCTGTGCCCCCTCTGTCGGGCCAAAACCGTGCTATCTGCAACTGAAGGTAATGACAATTGTCAGCTTTGCCCGAGAACCAGTATTGAGCACATATAGCTAACATGCGTCGCCTTTGCCAACTATAGCCCACATCGACTGGAAATTGATGTCCTATATGGAAAAGTGGTTCCCTAAGGAAACAAAAGAAAAACAGCGTTATAACGAGCTAGAGAGACGCAGGGAATTGTTGGGTGAGGCCTACGTTGATACAAACGATGGGCCATGCATCGTGATGTAGATGGTGTACCTTATCTGCTTGGCTGGCTATCTTGACCTCGTGGAATACCCCTTGTTATCGAATTTCACCATGATGAAATCTCCTTCGAGTTGGCTCATTCTGTGTTTTCACTTTGCTACTGATGATGGTTTACAGGTTAAGGTCCGGTTTCCTAAGCAGATAGGGTCCAGCCGAGTAGCTATACTTGTTAATCAAGTATGTATTAACGGCAAGGACACATGTGTGGCATGCGAAGAGGGCACGTTGGTTGTATCATTTCACTCCTCATCCTACCAGTGCCTACTCCGCACTCAAGAGACCCAGCTTAAAATGTTTATATCTGTAAGCATTCGCTACCTGCCCTTGTTCTCAAGGATACTAAGATTGTTCCTCGGCAACTTTCAGTGCTCTGGTAAACACATTGACAAGCTCATCTGTTTCCTCCAACCCGACACTGATCCGTATCAAGTTCCTGTCAACGCCATACTGCTCAGCCCAGTCAAGCTCCTGATAATGCGCCAGGAGCACATAGGGCGAAGTCAATGTGAAGTTGGTTCCCAAGCTCGGTCCCTTGGCCGTCTCGAGCGCATCGTAAAAGGCCACAGCCTGCTTCTTCCCCTTCAAGACCACAGAGACAAGACCACCGTAGCCTCCTTGTGGCAGCTTGACCGCTTCATAGTTGGCCCGTGAATCGTTGTACTTGGGGTAGTAGAGAGTCTTGACGAGCGGATGATCTTTGAGGACACGGCAAATGGCCTCGGCATTTGCATTGACTCGGTCTATGCGCGCAACAAAGTCTCTGCTGTTGCGCTCCATGAAGATGACATCCTCGGGCCAGTAGGTGTCCTCCAATTGCTGCTGGAAGAAGGCTTTCAGGGCTGGATAGTATCGTGAGTTAGGGTTCAATATAGCACCGCCACCCATGACGTTGCAGTGGCCGCTAAAAATCTTCGTGAGACTGCTGACAACAATGTCCGCGAACTGGAGGATATTCACATTCGCAAAGGTGCCAATAGTCTCGTCTACAACAACGGCAAATTCGTACTTGTCCGCCAGCTCCCGAATACGGACCAAGTTGGGACAACTGAGTGTGGGGTTGCCCGGAAATTCACAGAAAAGAGCCAGATACCGCTCTCCGGCCTCGAGTCGAGTCTCCAAGTCGTCGAGGTCGGACTCGGAGGCGCGGCCGTAGAACAACGCACCGGAAGGGTTGAACTTCTCGAGAATCTTGAGCGTATCGACGTAAGGGAAGCCAAAGTTGACGCCTTTTAGCGGCGTGCTGCCCGGCGGGGTTCGAATGGAATACAGCGCTCTGTGGGCATGAAAAATCGCGTTTATTCCGCATGGGAAGAGATAGATATCCTCCTCGCGAAGATTGGCGATGCCGCGGGTGTTGGAACTCATCTGCTTTTCTGACAGCGAAGGGGAACCTCCAAGGTCATGGTCGGCACTCCGCAGTGCTCCGGCAATTCGTCTCTTGATGGCGGACTTGGCGGGTTGGACAAAGGAGAGGTCGAGATTTCTGCCGAAACGCTCTTCTAGAAAACGGGAAGTCTCCTGTATCATGGCAGTCTCTCCGGTGGTCCCGTTGACGTGACCGTGCATATTCGGCTGCTGGTTTCCTCTGGCGTCAAGCGAAGCCTGCCGCTGGTAGCGCTTAGGACCGCGACACGGCTTTGCTGAAGCAGAGGCATCTGCGTTACGGAGTTCAATCAGAGGACGCAGCAAGCCGTCTGTGAACAAACCGTGGCAGAACTCAGCCCGGCGGCTAGAAACGCCATCTCCACTATGCTGCCAGTACTGCTTTGCGAAAGGAAAGCCGTCCTGTGGCATGATGACAGCAGAGATGGAGGGACAGAGGGGCTCCAGGGCACGCGCCTCGGGATTTGACATATCAAGAACGAGGTTGATGACCTCGATATTGATGCAGACATCAACAGGTGCTCGCGAACGGATGAAATCAACGCAGCGAGAGGCAATGGTCGGCGTTGGAAAGAGCATGGCTGTGATATCACTAGGTCGCTTGGCCGTGGTACTGACATGCTTGGCCACAATGTCAGCAGCAAAGGCCTGAATGCTCCGGTGGATAAAGAAGCTGACAGAAGCCGGTCAGTACAACTGCAGTGCTGATCGAGATACTGCGACCGTAGGGATCGTGGTGTCTGGAGGACAGGCGCACACTTACCGAGGATACCCCGTTGTCATGCGCTTAACAACCCAATCCTGGCCCTCCTCATAGCCGACATTGGCACTCCAGGTTGGGAGTGAGACGCTCACGGCCTAGATACAGCAACTTAAGGTCAGCAAGAGGCATGGTGAAGGTGGTGACTGTATATGCTTGGGCATGGGTGCATACATGAGCGGTCTCCGAGGGTATAGAATCCCCAAGCTCGAACGTAGGCATGGTATACGTAACCGAGTGCCAGGTGAGCGCGGTTAAGTGGTAAGACGAGTTGTGATGCTGCGTGGATGTTATAATTTTGCTTCGAGCTGGTGTGAGGAGCACCTTCTCTACTGGTTTCTGGCCTAACGGGATGCTGTCTTCCTCCTGTTAGCTGGTTACAATCAACCGCTCAAGATAGTGAGGCAAGGGCAAGCCCCAAGAACATGGCTTACATAAAATTAGGTGTGTCGTTCTTCTGTTTACCTCGCTATTAGTTCTGAGTAAGGGAATGAGTCAAGGGTGGATGTCGAGTGAGCGAGCAAGTGAGTGAGCGAGTTGGAATTGGTGGCCAAGGAGTGGCTCGTTGAAGCCGAGTATCGGAGGTATCCAAGTATCCGTACTTGTTGTCGTATCCAATCAATCACGAAGTTAGATCTAAGCTAGCGGTGACGATTGTGTAGATTATGTGAAGCATGTTTCTTTGGCAGATTCGCACATTTGACGTTTGGCTTATAGTCCTTGTCACAGCCCACGCCACATTTCGCAAGTCCCTCCTTCTCTGCCAGATACACCTTACTCTATATAATATTCTTCTTGTCCGTAACGCTGCATTGTTATATTATGCAGCATACGTCCTTACCCTCGCCTACATAGTCAATGTACCTACGTACCAGGCGGCGCAAAACCAACATGCCGGAATCCACAGTCCCCACCCCGTCTTTAATGGGTCCATGCCCGAACGCTTAGACCTACACATCGAAGCCGTAAATCGGTGACGGAAGGTACAGTAGACGGAAGAAGAGGCATGAGATCAATGGAAACCATGTGGTGATTTTGATGGATTGATTGGCTTGGTGGAAGAAGAGGAAGAGGACTGCCAATCCCCTGCTAAATACCCTAGAAACGAAGACTTTGGTGGGGGACAACCCAGAGTGGAGACAGGCAGCATCTTTCTGTTCTGCCCCTGCCGACCAGCCGACTTCCAACAGTTCGTCAAACGCGAGTCGCTCCTATGATGAAACAAAGGTACGTTGAGCAGGACGGGATACGTAAAATATTCTGTTCAACTCATTTCTCTACACTAGTGATAGCCTTCCGAACTCTGCGCTTTACATACCACGGAATATGCCCTACGATTTGTGGCAGTGCTCGTTCGCCCGCCCTATATTGTCCATCACAAGCCTAACTGGCCATGGTCTCCCTATGCCGTCATACCAATATCTCACATGCCCTACATCTAAACATCCATAACCGTACGGCCACGGAAAACGACCAAGTACAAAATGAACACAAAAGCTTTGTTCCAACATACGCTCCCCATGTGCAAGTCGTCCCCCATGACCATTTTTTCTCTATGCTTGGGTTGTTCATTGTGACCCCCCCCCCGGTTTAGTTGTAGTATGCCCGACCGCTCCTGCGAGTCCCCACACAGCTGATGCTGTCGCTGGGTACGATGCTATCGGCATCTTCTTGGTCCTCTACCTCGCTGCCCCACTTTGTGGACTGAACACCCGGGGTGTCGGGCGGTAGCAGAATCTCACGAGGTGTGACGAGCTCGCTCAAGCTACCCGAAGCATTTCTGGGCAAACCCCCATCACGGCTCGAACCATAAGCGCCAGACCTTCCCAATGGACTGCCACCGACTTTGACAGTCGTCGTCTTCATGCGGGTGCCTGACTTGGAGCGTCTGACTGTGTAGGACTCTTCAACCGGGGAACCGTGGATGGTACTCGAGGATCGATGACTCTTTGTTGACGCATAGCCGTCCCGCTCTGGCGTACTCGTGTCGTATGTGTAGCTTCGCTGCACCATTGGCGGGTGTTTTGCGCCTCTTGAGCTTTGAAGGTGGTGGTGATCCGATGAGATACTCACGGGTGGTCGTCCATAGTCCGCCTCGCTGCGGTCCCGAGGAGACCCGCGAGACCGCGGTGTCATATGACGGCCTCGAACGTCCTCCAAGCCATCTCCAAAGCCGTCGTCCACATCTCTGCTTCGCGAAGTGCCCGCATAACTGCTGTATCGAGTGATGTACTCCGGCCGCGGCCCTGGCCGGGAAGCACTGCCAGAGGTATGCAGGTGCTCATCAGGTAAGCGAACCTTGTCCACTGCCCGGTCCACTTCCACATAACGTGCCCTAGACTCCAAAGGTTTTCCGGAATACTTTTCTACATGCCCCTCCTGGTGGCTGCAGCGGCGTGAAAACGATGGCGGCTCATGATCATCACGCGATGAGCGGGACCGATCCGCCTTGGACATGCTGTACAAAGCACCTCCCACTGCTCCGGCGGCCGCGACGCCCAAGATGGTACCCACAACCGTACTTGGACTGATGCCTCCGGAGTTGTGCCTGGTTGGGACAGCGGGAGCATAAGAGGCCGTCCTCGACACGTGGCTCCGCCTGGAAGCATGTCGATCATCGTCCTCAACCTCAGCAGAACGCCGGTGACACGAAGGAGGGTTTGATCCCGAATATGATGGATGGGACACTGCACCTGGGCGCTGCTCTAAACCTGCTATATCGTATTTCCACAGGAGAACCCGACTTGGTTCTTCATCGGCTGACTGCTGGTACCTTGTGGCTGTGCCACCGTGATGGGACGGGTAGCTTTCGGAAGGCTGATATACGATCTCCATGGTGTTGCCGTCAGGGTCAGTGACGTTGATTTTGAGGTCGCCAGCTCGACTGACACTCCTGTGGGCCTTGGCGGTTGTGGCAGCTGATCGAGAATCAACAGGGTGCCGCAATGATTTATCACCGGCGTCTGGTGAAGCTCGGCGCGCGCAACTAAAAGCCTCGTCGGCTGCGGCCGCAGAAGGGGCGGAAAGGGAAATATGCGAGAGTCTCAAGGCTCGATGCGGGTCAACTTCACGAATCTGGAAGACGGGTTTGTCGCGTGACGGATGGCCGTAGGTGATGGATGGTAGGGGCCCGTCCTCCTCACTCAGGTAGCGCAGGCCAATATTCTTGATGATGGCCGCGTAAAAGGGTGCGGAGGATGAGAGATGAGAGACTTCGAGGAAGGGAAGCATCTTGACTGATGTGTTTATGTTGAAAATCTGGCCACCCAAGCAACGAGCGAAGGCATGCAGCCCACAGACGTTTGCAAGCTGCTGATCGATGCCCACCCCTCAGTTTGATATACAGCCCCGGTGTTGAAGAGGAAGTTGATATGTGGCAACCTTTTGAGTGTCCGAGGTGTTGAAGGTCGCCGAGCTAACAGGGAATCTCAAGGTACCGTTGAGGCACCGTTCAAGTACCGTGGCGCGAGCAGGCGATCAAGACAGGGGTGTGCTGCCGCTCACGGCTCACCACATCCAAGCACTCGAGGCCAGGAGCTGTGAGGCGTATCCGTGGTGGTTGAGTCTAGTTGTGCTCTCAAAGCACCGCCGCAAAGGTGCGTTATGGAAAGAGTGAGGAGGTTGAGTTGGAGGAAGTGACTTGTGAAGCGGAGGCCTTTCTCACCGGTCCGGCTTTTGTCACAGACAAATGGTGTAGGGCGGGAAAAGCCACGTCCAGAAGAAGGGCCAGATAGCGATTGCTGCTTGGTGAAATCACTTGACGGTCGGATAGTGGTTGGATTCGTCCACGTATTAGTCATGTTAGTAGTAGGAGGAAGAGTGGTAGAGGTAGCCAGGTCGCAAGTGTAGGTAAGTGGAAAGGCATATTCCCTTTGGGGCTGATGCGCTTCGACTTCCTCTTGTGAGGCAGTAATGGCAGGTTCCTGGTAGTTGTGGGTCCCAAGCGCCTATTTTCGGGCTCATCGTGGGGATACCAAGTCACTACAGCGTATAGTGTAAAAGAGCATCCCGAACTGCCAGAGTATACAGTCCTGTGGTTGGTGGTGATGGGAGGCAAGACAGCAAGCCCTAACGCGACCCGGCCATCCGGCCTGACTTGGCTGACTGGCGATCGAGGGCGGGAGAATCTCCATTGGCGAACACCCATCTCCGCCCTTTTAGGCAAATGCAACCTTGCAACATTCCTACTTTTTCCTCTTGATGATCACTCGCACTGCAGGATTTTCCGTGGACAACCGCTGGCCGTTGCCGCTCACTGACGGTCACCACTGTGCCGCTGCCTGACGAGCCATCCTTTTGGCCTAGCATGCATCGCCACGGCTACGGTGAACGCTTCGGTGCCTGGGTGCCCAAGTCGAAGTCTTGTATGTAAGGCTTTTCGTACCCGAATCAGCCTGTCTTGTTCGAGGTGAGCGTACCGTGGTGAGCGGGTGGGATCAGCGTGTCCGTTACGCACTTGCATGCCGAATTGGTGCCGAACACTACACATTTTCCTTGTCGCCACTGGGTTGTGTGTTCCTGGCGCACAAGCAGTGTATATCATTCAAACCCAAAATATCCAACCTACAAATTTGGAGATTGCTCCGGTGCGCGTTCCAATATGATGCAGTCTCGGGAGCAAATCCACAGGTGATAAAGACCCAATGGCCAACGCCAATGCCTGGGCTATCTTCTTCCTGAAATCCATTGGCCGAATGAAGACAACCACGTGAGAGGCATCAAGGCCTGCACGCTTCTTGTACCCGTCCATATTTCATTGCGAGTACACGGCACTACTTGTCAGGCTTTCAAGCGACCGTGGAAAGAGAAAGAGGGACGTGGAAAGGAAATCAGAGGAGTTTACGCGGCAAGAGAGAGACATTGGTTTACAAAGGCTGATTTCGGGGGAGATGCTTTGCTGCAAAAAAGGGGAGGGTATGTCCACGACATTTCAGCCCCCTTCTCGCCTGCTCAAATATATCAATGCTGACCTGTTGTTAGTGTGTCACTTCCTAATTCCTACCACCAATTCTAACCGGGCAAGTCGCTACTTGCCCTTCTTTCCGCAATGGTAGTGTCGAAGTTGACATGGCGCATGGCAAGCGTTCGGTCGACCAAAGAATACGTTGACCCGAGGAATTTGTATCCGCAAGAAGAGATTATTAACTAGCTAAGATTGGGCATGTGAAAGAGCTAGGAAGAGGCGAAAAAGAGTATATGACAAAAGGAGAGGAGGGAAGGCAAGCCAGGTTGAATGGTCTTGCGTAGACGATGAAAGCGTCTTGAGTCCGTTGTTGAACGCCCCATGTTTTGGTTGCAAAAACAGCGACAGCGCAATCACATGCGACCCAAGTTCCGGAAGCTCTGGCCCGCAAAATCGCGATGTTGTATCACGAAGCTGGCCAAAGCCCCCGCAACCTCTCTCACGCGTGAGAAAGGCAAACAGACCTTTCACCCATCCCTCCATGTTTCCCACCACGGTTTAGATGCCGATTAGATGATGTCCCACGCATCCTCAGCGGCGTGACAGAACTTGCTGCACGCTACGCTGGCTGACAAGCTATAATTGCTAATGGAGATCTTCTCATCGACATACTCATCCGCAAAGTTGTCGGCGCCCTTGGCCATGGCGCCAACAAAGAAGCAGATGCTCTCGTTCTCGCCCAAAGTGTCGATGTACTCGCGGACGCGCACAACGGGGGCGTCGAAGCTGAGCGTAACCTTGCGGCAGTTGGGAGGCAGATGGTCCGTAATAGGGTTCTGAATCACCTTCAAGAGCTTCTCCTGCGAGTTGGTTCCCTTGATGGACAGACGATGGAGAAGCTGGACCATGAGACCAGCGAAGCGCTTGAAGGTGCGGGGTATACGGACAGAAGGCGAGACCTCGATCAAAACCCCCTTGGCGGTCTGGATGTAAATCTGCAGCCTTCCAGCCTTGTTGACGGGCGAGTCGAGAAGCGTGAGGAGGCACTAGAGAACAACGATGGCGAGTGTCAGTAGCAGTGCCCGCATGTTGAATGCAGACTGGGAGTGTTTCCAACCTGGTGGGTGATGTCGGGGCGAGCGTCACTGATGTCTCTGTTCATCTTGCGCATGACACCAATGTGCTCATCGCTGTTGAGGAGCGAGTACTTTTCCTCTCGCTGCATGCCCATGCGGCCGGAGCCGCCGTGGGACGCCTTGTAGGTCTCGAGGCTGGCGTTGGAGAGCACCACGATGAGCCTCTTGGTGTCCTTGTCGGTAGGTGGGATGGGCATGTGCTGCTCGGCGACGAGTTGGGGCAGTGCCGGAGGAGGGAGCGACTGGGTGCCTGCCATGGTTACGTCGTGGTTAGACATGTTGAAAGTCTGAAGCTCAATCAATGATCGGATGACCAAATGTCCGGGGGCAATGGCAGGCAGGGTAGAGACGGCAGGGCGACGGCGCTGGTAGAAACAGTATGTTTGATGATGGTTGCTAATATGGTCGTTGTGATGGTGACGGGGACGGGGACGATGGATGATGTGTAGCCAAGAGAACGCAAGAATGGAGACGAGACGGCCTTTCGAGTTTTCGAGCGAAAAACGAAATGGTATTGGCCATCGGCGATCAAGAGAGTGGGGTACCGAAGTGTTCCAGACTTCCCCTCTTTTCGTCCCCAGCGCATCTTCCCGTCCTGGTTGTTCCCGTCGTCCAGATTTTTTTTTTTTTTTTTCCCGTCTGCGCCGCGCATGCGCTAGGCTTGGCAGCAGCGCAACACACCTTGGGAACACCCAAGGCCCGCCTCTCAAAACTCCGAAAGGCTATCACCTCGAGCGCCGCAACAACTCGTGTTCAGGCCACAAGTCATAGGACCATGGAGGCCGCGGATGGACAATGTGATTATCTGACATGGAAGGGATTGAAAAGTCGAGGAGGGGTTGAACTTACGAGGCCGCTTGCCAGCACGGGGGGGTTCTGGGGAAGATGATCCGGACGACATGGTGGCTGGCAGGGGAGCACGGAGCAAAGGCAACGATGGACAACCAGATGGACCCTTGATGACAAAATTGAAGCGGAAAGTTGCAGGAAGAACGAGACGAGAGCGCGGGTTGCGCGGGCACACGTGCCTTTTTATATGTTCACTAAGCCCGATAAGACGGCGGTGATCCCCAGGAACCCGAGTAAGGCGTTACATTTCAGGGTTCCAGACAGATGGCTTCGACACCCTGCGCCCACGCCAAGCTGCAAGACGCAGCTAGCCTCAAGGTAGGAAATCCACCATTGACGCGAAGGAACCAAAAACATGCAGAAAGCAGCCCTAGGTTGATTTCCATCTACGTACATACCACGGTACATAATGTAAAACGGTAACTTACGGATCACCTTTCGCTCTCCATACCACTGATGATTTTATAAAATAAACTGCACAACTTTGGAGTTATCTGTTTGTCCCTCTACAATTTATATGGAGCTTGTCTTGGAATCAGATCTCTCTTTCTGCAATACCACCTGACTACCTACAATCCAGCCCTGGTTTGTTTGCTAGTTAGGTACAAAAAACGCGGATGGGTGCCGTAGGGGACTGCCCTCTTATATCTTCCAGTCTTGAACATCTCGAAGGAGACTGTTCAACCCATGGCCGAAGAACCAAACTAACAAACAAACCAGTATTGTATTGTACCAACCCTTCGGCAATAATTGACACGCCAGCCAATCGCCGACATGGCCACCCAGTGGAGCGAGCTGGAGAACTGGTGGAGGATGTTGGGGATTGCTCCGCCTGGACATGGACTAGGGAGACTCCTCCGCCGACGTCGGGGTTGTTTCTAGAATCTAGAGAGGCAACCTGGTCCAACTGCCATCCATCGACATGGCGAGAGACCATTTTAACAACATAGGCTCAGAGTGGTACCTAATTCTGCGTACAGCATTCCAAGAAACACGACCCGTAACCAGCACCGCTGAGACGGCGGCAAAGTGTCAAGCTTCGGCTTTGCGAGACCCGGACCTACCACAGAAGGGGAGACGGGCTACATGGGCGGCGTACTACACGTATTCATATGTATGCCATGCGAGCCGAAAGATCTACGTATGATTCTGCTCTCCCAAACCCGATCGTTAGAAGCTCGGCTGGGCGCCGCTACACATGAAAGTGGACATGCTCTGCACACTAGGTAGGGCTGCGGGCCGTCTCGCGATTAAGAGCCCTACCGGGAGTCTGGAACGGCAGATCCTTGACAGGACGACACCATGACAAGCTCGGTGGAATATGTACTGCGCGGCCATTAGAGTCATAACTGATAGATGCCGCCAGTTGCTCCTGATTAAGATACCCCACAAAATATTATTTAATATGAACCAGTCGGGATCTGGAGCTCTGAATGGCGTCGCTTGATTGGACTTGGTGTCTACATAGTAGGAAGAAACCCAGATAGCTCACAAGGTGGACTCTTGGCATCTACCTATACGATGTTTTGGGGAACGGTTTATAGTAATATGCGAATAAGAAAATACAACCTTCAATCTTAAGTTGTAATGTGATCAAACTACGTGGCTTGGCATTTCAGCGCCCT